AGGAAAGCTAGATAGTTGAAATTTTAAGGGGATGTTACCCGCCCACGTAAGCCTCCTACCAGTTCAAAGCCTGCCCTTGGGTACGCGTGGTACCCACGTATGGGCCCGCCAAAATTTTTTAGGGTAAGTCTCTAACTCGAGAATTTGAAAAGCTAGAAGACTGTAATTTTGAGGGGATATTCCCCAATCGTCTAAGTCTTATTGAGCCCAAACCCAGCCTCGGGTGTTTAGAGTACCCACGTGTGAGCCTACCAAAATTTTTTCAGAGTAAGTTGCTAACTCGGGAGCCAAAGAAGCTAGAAGAGTAGTTTCCTGGCAGTCCTGGCGGCCAGTCTGAAATTCTTTTAGCTAAAAGCATCTGCCAGAAAAAGCAGTGCAGTTAACAACAAAAATCTGCGGGGAGCTATGCAAAAAGCGCATCTTCATACGGGCAGCCCGTGCGTGACCAATTATTTTGACCAGTAATAAATGTTGCTCTACTTCCAAACTTCCATCAAAATAACTGATATGCTATGCACTTATTCTGGTCAAACAGCACCAAAATAACAATTAAATTTTAAATTAAAATTGGAAGAGTGAGAGGAAAATGTTAGAATAAAGGAGAGCTATCATAAATATAATGTTAGAAAAGTTTGTAGAATAGAAAGATCTCGATCTATAGTCATAAGGTAACCTATAAGAACCTTATAACTTACCACAAAGTCATTTATAAGAACTTACCGAAGCGCACAACGTTTTGCAAAGCCCGAGCAATAAATTTTTAATAGCTGCAGGAAAGGCGCTGAATTTTCCTGGGAATAAAAAAGTAGTGACGGAAATTGTGATCAAAGTAATGGCCTGTTCGAAAGGCTGGCTGCCTGCTTATGTGCACTGGGCCATACTTATATTCACATATACTGGGCCTGAAAGGTTTGTAACAAAAATCGTTGTAGGGTTGGCAGAAATGCTCTTTCCTTCTGACATGTATGCTGGTAAGATGGAGCAAAATAGTAGTGAACGGGAAAGAAGAATATTCACATACTTTTTTCTCATTTTGCCATTGCTGACAACCAGTCTGAAAAAAAGCTAGCCACAATCCTTAATACCAGTATTGTAATTAAGCTGAAATTTCTACCAAAAAAAGGATCAGTGGGAAATTTTTACTGGTTCGAAAATGAATGTGCTTGCAGCAATTTTCATTTAAAGAGCACACTGAAGAACTGCAAATTCAGTAGCGGTTGACACTTTCCCAAATTCCGAGCTCCTGTTTACGAATTGTTCCAGCATATCATTTGGAAACAGTTCTGCAACGATTTCCGTTATTTTAAGCTCCTAAGAACATTTAGATACTTTAAGTGTTTCGAACACCACTACTGCGATGAAGTGATCCGCTTTTTACGGCAATATGGAATTATGTAGATGAAAAAGGTTCATAATTAAAAAGAATGGAAAAACTGTCAGCTATATTAATGGCAAGAGAAACGAAGATGAAACAACAACCGGTCCACCTATCTAAGAAAACTATTTCAAGCACTTCGAATATCGAAGTTGTCCTGGAAATGCAAGATGAAGGATCGTTCATGTCAATGGTGCTGCAGAAATAGTAGTTCAGGGATTTCAAATTTTGCTGAAGTTCTTTTCATCAGCTGTTGCCATCTCAATTCATTATGGGCTTGCATCGTTTTTTAGAAGCTGAACCTTTTTGCAAGGCATTCACGTGGTTTTGGAGTTTTTACATCTGACATTTCGCTTTGGTCTTAAGTATTCTTCAGGAAGTAATTCGATGTTTCGCCATCTCGCACATCCTTCACTCTTTCTTTCGTTCAGTTAGACGTGATGTCATTTTATTATTTGTAGCAGATATCCAGAACAACATTCAACGCCGCAGGGTCCGACTGATAATTAATGCTGATCTACTGGCTTAGTGTTCTGGTGCATTCTGACATGCAACACACTTTTTCTAACAACCCAATGCGTCACTGATACTTTTCTAGGAGAAAAAAGCATTCAGGTATCTTCACGTTAACAGAACTCTGGGACCCAGTGAAGCTTCTACTTCCGCCTCAGTAGCGATGCACCTTTAAGTGAAATTAATTAAACTGTTGTTTCGGCACATTATTATTACATGTTAAGGTGTATACTGATGTAATTTGCGAAGACCAGTATCGTAGCTAAATAAAATACGTTTTAATAAAAGCAAAGCCCCTGTACCTATCAGGAGATAAGGTCGAAGATTATGATACAAAACCTTGAGATTTTTAGATTATTTTGTTACAGAGGCAGAACCTGACTTTATACATTTGTGTCGGAGCAAATCGACAGTCAAAATTTTAGTGAATTTCATACGCTGAGACTGGCGAAAAGGTCATGACGAAATTTGGAACCTGCATCTGATGATAATGCATGTTGGTGCCTAGAAGAGCATTCGCATGAATGTGCGACCGCAGATTCATCCTTATTTAAATTATACAAGAGCTGATAAAATGGGTTGGATTTGTTACGTCTTCTGATCCGTGAGCAAGCAACTTTGCAGTGGGAAATGGTGCTTCGCAGTTTTGCAAAAACACAGATATGAAATTTCATTCATAAAAATTTGTATTTCCAATTGAATACAGGCAGAAATTGAACTGCATATAGGCTGGAACACACTAAGTTGCCGGTGCTATCATGCGTTTTTGCATTAAACTTGAAGCAGTCAGGTCGTTAACTACGTAAATGGTTCTTGCTTTAGACATATCTTGTACGTTCACTAGCGCAAATCATAAATTTTGCATGAAAGAATGTGAACAATTCTGTCGAATAACCTTTCCTTGAAAATGAACTAAGTGTTCAATGAGTAATTTTGCTGCCAAAACTTTTGATTTCCCGTACATGAGTAACACGCATTCCTGGGGTCTGAATTTGAAAAATTGCTTTGGCAGAGAACATCCCATTAAAGTTCCAGCTTTTTTGATCCCTGAGTTAGCTATTTTCTCGCCGAATCTTTCACGTACTCGTACATGGAGCTCAAAAATGTCTGGAGGTTGACACGTAGCCCTGGGGTTGAAATTAGCTAGGGCCTTATTGAACTTAGCCAGGAACTTACTGAACTTGATACACCGGAACATGCTTGATTGCCCAATTGAAATACCCGGACAGACACAAATACACACACACGCATGCCATGAAACTCAAAACGCATTTCATTGTTGTCATAAAACGCATTTTTATGCGCTTCTGCTGTGCAGCGCTATAGCAGCCAGCAAAAACGCACATTGTCAAGAGGCCGTCTGTGTATGTGTTTGTGTTCGGAAACGAACGCACTTTGTCACCCACTTTCATTTCAGCAACCAGGAAAGCTGGGAAGTTGAAAATACGGGTATGTGTTCCTACCCCGTGTGTCACCCTACCGTTTTAAGATCTTCCCCCACACGCGCCAAGGCCTTGCGTACGGATGTCCCAAAAAATACGCAAATTTTCTTTGGCGGGAAGCGATTTCGCGAACCGGGCAACTTAGAAAGCTGAAACTCTGCAGGCGTATTCTCTGTGTATGTGCGAGCTAAAAAAATTTCAAATTTAGCTGCCGCGCGCGCTTGTGCAGCGTGTAGGGCCGCTTCAAAGTTTGCGACTTGGTGCTATGCTAACTCGAAAACTTGCCGGAAAACAGTGGCTGAAATTTTGCCAGCATGTTTGTCTCCCTCATAGGAAATAGTATACCTAAAATGAGCACCGATTTGCACTTGCACCGCGACTTAGGGCACTTCAAAGATATTTTTAGCGAATGAATACTTCGCCTGCCGGATAAGCTGCGGGGCTGAAAACTCGCTGGGATGTTCTATATTCAAGTGCGGTCTGAATTCTGCTTGGAAGTGGAATTCCCTCCAGATAGGCATTAGAAATACTCAACTTTACCGAAAAATCAGAAACGAGAGCATTTTGCAGCGAACGACCGCCCTCCTCCAAATATTTAATGAGCTTTAGTTCATTTGAATTCTTGGATTTTTTCACAGACGACAGCTCGAGTAATACTTCCACTTTTCAGTGAACTGAAAATTTGCGTTTTTTTCAAAAAACTTGCATAATTTTTTCAAAAAGCTAGCACTTACCGAAATAACGACCCAGCTTCATGTAAACCCAGGCTGGAACGCACCAGGCTAGCCGGTGCGATCATGCGTTTTTGCACGATTTCTTGCGGACGTTTAGTGCTGTGCTGATACAATTATCCTTTAATTTATTCCTTTAATAGCATTATCAGTAATTATAGACCACATATGCGTTATTTACT